GGGGGGGACCAAAAATGAGCCTCCACAACATCTCAGCTCCCGCCCGCTCATTACCAAACGCTAACCCCTAACACTGGAAAGAATAATGTTAGGGGCTTTCCCGCTAACCCCTAACACTGGAAAGAATGATGTTAGGGGCTTTCCCCCTAACCCCTAACACTGGAAAGAATAATGTTAGGGGCTTTCCCTTTCTAAGGAAACCAACAAAACACGTCTTGTTTTTTTTGTTTTTTTTTTTGGAACTGAAAATTCAAAATTTGGACTCTTTTTTTTTCTCGATTTATGTGCGTGTCATCCTTGAAACGCGCAGGGGCCATTTTGCTACTTACTCTTGTTTTTTTTTTTTTTTTTTTTTTTTTTTTTTTGAAGGGCGACGGGCTTGAGATATCATCATTGAAGCTGACCGGCCCCAGGGACCTTGTCCCACTAGCTCCGTTGAGCTATGTCAACGTGGGGTTTTCGAGCCTGTGTGACTGTACGCGACAAGGGAGATGCTAGTCGTCCAATTCATCTAACGGTCCGTTTCTAATAAAAAGGGCAATAGAGACCATCTTCGCTTTTTTTTCTTACAACAAAAAACAGAAATAAATCCTTCCTCTCGAATACTACTACCCCTACCCTCGCCACTTTCCGTTGAACTAGCTGTCTCCTTTTTTCGAGACAGCTAGTTCAACGACCCTCTTGTTCCCCCAAAAGGCGTTTTTCAAGAGAAACTGTACGAGCCTCCTTCCGTTTGCCATTTTTGGACGGGATTCGGGCACCTCTTCATTTTCTGCTGTGGAAGTGCCCGTATGCCACTCCAATTGTGAAAAATGAAAAACGAGAACAATTGTATTCCTGCCTAGGCTACCAGAGTGGCCCGGGGTCACTTGCCCGGCCGGGCCAAAAATATTTAAAAAAAAAAAAAATAAAAAAAAATAATTAAAATTTTTATTTTATACTTTAAATTCGGTAAAGAATTTTGATGTGACCCTGAGGCAAAAGTTGTTCAGTTTATTTTTCTGCATAACATAGTTTTTTAACGGATTTTTTGGATTTTTTGGATTTTTTAATTTTTTTTAATTTTTTTTTGCTGGGACCCTCCCTTGTCCTTGCACGGGCTGGCCACCAGGGACCCGGGCGGCCCGGCTGGTAGCCTAGATTCCTGCCATTTATAAATGCATTTCTCATTTGAAATTGAATTAAAATGATTATTTTTTGCTGTCGCACCGTTGAGCTGCCTCAACTAAACGGTGCAAGTGGGACAAGGTCCCAGGTAGTTCAGAAATGATACTATGCTGGGTTTCTGTCTGATTGTATCTGGATTCGGACTTGAGTCTGTATTTCAGCAGTCCG